GCAGGTACAAAATTAAATCAATTATTGAAATTAAAAAAAAAAAAAATTAATTTTTTTAGATTATCCATAACATCAAATGGGGCACCTTCATTATATTTGTTAATTCATCACATTTTTTATTATACAATAATACTAAAACACAAAAAATTGAATATCATATGACAGTAAAATTTATTTATACTTTTATTAAATATCAAAAATATATATACCATTTAATATTTTTATAGATTTATTAATAAATAATTATAGTACGATTTTTACAGTAATTTTGAGTCTCTTTAATTATAATTTAAGCCATATATTAATTGGCTAGATTATATAAAACTAGATAAAGAATTTTTCAATTATACAAATAAGTAAAATACTATATACTTTATAATAGAGGTTAAATGTAATATAAATATTGTATTCACGTCTGATTGAAATTATAAATTTAAGGAACTATTATGTGAATGAACAATAGGCAAATACAAATTTGTATATGAATTTGATGTGTAGCATAGTAAATGGAAATTTTAGTTCAGTCAGTTAAAAATTTTGGATGACAACCGACTATCAATGAAATATATACTTCTATACACATGTATGTGAATTAATGTACTTAAAAATTTAGTTGAAAATAATAGAATATAAAATTTATCACTATTTTTGCAAAGTATAACAAAAATTTCATAATTTTCATTTAGAATTTTTATGTATTTAAAAAAAGCCTAATTTTCTTACATATTTGTGCGAATCCAACAGATATTTTTTAATAAGAAAATTGCTAATCATCTGAAGTATTATAAATTAATTGGAAAACTTAAATGTGTAAGTACTTTACAATATAATTGAAATATAATTGTTGTCATAATTATAAGAAAAAGCTACGGATTTATGTTAAAAAAAAAGAGCTACAGACAATTAAATATTTTATCATTATTTAAATTTTTATATGTATTTATTGATGTATATATTTATTTGTGTATATGCAAGTTATTATTTACCTTTTAATTAAATAACTTTATTTCGAAAATAGTTATTTATCAGCTTGATTTCTATTCTACGACACAATACTTTTTGTGAATCTTGATTTAACAAAAAATTATAAATTTTTGCTGAATTGCTTTCGAGTAGTCGAGAATCGTGCGTTCATAATTTTATTTCATTATGATTCTAATTAATAGTTAATAAATATCTTATGTAATTTGATATTACAAATACCCCCCATTGTTATTCTGAACACTTCGCATTTTTCTATAATTTTTACTCTAAAAATATGACGTATATTGGATAAACCAGAACTACTAAATTATTCGTTAATTTTTACGAGCGAAATAGGCTTATCAAATGTAATTTTTGGTAAATTTTTGTTGTTTATGCTTTGATTTTTATAAAATAATTGCGTTTTTATGATAGATTATATATATTTCATAATTTATTTATTTAAATTATACACTATTTAAACTTACAATTAACTATCGTCGGTTAATTATAATAAATGTAAAGAGTGTTATGTATACAAATAAAATATATATTTTGATTATTAGGTATTTAAATTTACCTTTTAACAAGTGATTATTTAACGAATAATGAGTAAATTTATTAGTGATAATTTAAAAAAAAAAAACATATTAATAAACAAAAATATGTATGTATCTATTAAATATAATAAATTGTCAGTATAAAATTTATATTTAATTAAATTTATATTTAATTTTTCGATTATTTGATTGACATAGTATGGTTAATATATTTATCCAAATGTAGAAACTACAAATGAAATTGTAAGCAAAAATTTTATGCATCTTGTGAAATTGTGATCAACGATTTATACTTTTTACGATTATAAAATAAAATGAACGATTGATAGTGTAATATTTTTATTATTAATAATTTCAATTATATTGATTAACTAGATGTGTAACGATATAATTTGTAATTTTAAATGCAAATATGTTTTAAAAATTACATTATATAAATCTTTTTTTTTTTTTTATTACAATCGAAATCATTTCAAATTCTATATAAATAATATATACTATTAATGTTCAAAATTTTTAAATTTAAAAAATTCTGTAAACAAAAAAAAATTAGTATTAAAGAAGAAGACTTTGGTGCTTGTCATTCGACGTATATGTATTTATTTATTTATGTAAGTATACAACTGAAAATATTGAGCACATTAAATATACAATATTCTATTAAATTGTATAATAATGATCTTTATATAAGCGTACGCTTATTAACTTATGAAACGGTTATTCAAGAAATTGCAATTTTTTTAATTAATATTATTTTATGTTTTGGAATTAATTATTCAAAGGCAAATATTCAAATAATTTACCAAAAATTAAAGGATATATAATTTTAATATAAAGTTCTTGTTTTTTTGAAAGAAAAATTTTTGAATAATAAAGAAAAAGCAATTCTAATACGTTTAAAGAATTTTAATACATTATGCATCTTATTGAAGTGGGTAGTTTTATATCTTCCTTACTATCAATATTTTATAAAGAAAATCGTTGTTTAATTCTTGTAGGCAATGTTCACATGCCAATTATTGAATATTTATAAATTGATTTGATTAGTTTCGTAAATGAAATAAATTAAAAGCTTTCGCTTAATTAAAGCCTAATAACTCATTAATCCATAAAATGTTTTATAAAAATTTCATGCTTATAAAAATAATAATTTCCTCATAAATATGGAAAGTACTTGAATTATAGTGTTGGGTAAATTTTCATTAATACCATAAAGTAAAATGTGATGTAGTTTTATTCATATATAAAATTTTTATTATAAGTATAGGCAACTCGAAGAAAAATTCACACGGAATGCATACACTCGTCGTTCATTGAGACAATCTCGATAAAATTGTATATTTACGAGACATCGCGAATATAACGTCCGCGCCATGAAATAATACAGAGCAGCACGTGATGTATCGAATGATTCCACATCGGTAATCAATCATTCAGTCGGTGAAAGTGCCTAGAGAATCACGTTTACCGAACCGTGCATGAAGTTGCTTGTACATACAAATCTACCACAACGATATTTATATATACATTTTATGTTAATGCGCATTTAGATGAGAATTGATTCATCTTATTTTGCATACTCATATTTTTTTCTTCTTAGTCTGAACTAGTTGTATAGAGTTGTATAGGTACATAACACCTTTTACCTTACAGCATTTAAAATTATTTGTATCCTTGGTTATATTCAATGAAGATTTACTATATATTCTAGATTGGGATTGCGAACTATTAAGAATAGATCTCTAATACACTTAACATTTTAAACATATAATTAATTTTATTTTAATACGAATATATGGAATTGCAGTGTGTTGAAATTATTCTGAGACGTTGATTCTTTGTATTGTTTAATTATTAGCTATATATATATATATATATATATATATATATAACACTCTTTTCTGCATTTAATAAAAAGCTTATATCCGATAAATTTATCGTGCTACTATATTTTTCTGATGTTTGGTACATGGCAAAATAAAGCGAATAATTTAAAAAATATTATTACAATGTAAAAAATAGGGCAAAATTTTTTTAAAATTATTACGAAACTTTAAGTGAATCTCGCTGTGAATTATAAAATAATATTTATGAAATATTTTTATTTATGAGAGCTTTAATAAAAATACCGTATGATTTATATTTATTTTCCTTTTACTTATGTTTTTTAATTACTTTAATTATCTTCCTTTGCATAACCATTAAAAATCCACCTCTTATCATAGCTAAGAAAAATAAACATTTTGTTACCGACTTACATAAAACAATGCCACAATTGTAAATCTATATTGCATATGCATAATATAAAAAATGTTAAAATGTATTAGAAGTAATAGTTTAAATTAACATCTGTCACCTCTACTGTCAACATTTTTACACAATAGCTCCGTATTTTCAGCGATGACTTTATAAGCTTACAGATGTCTTAATAATCTTTCGGAAATAATTACTTCAAATCAACAGTCAGTGTAACTTTGTTGACGTTTTAATTTAATTAGACTTTCCTAGCAAAGCCCATGCAAATCAAATGCAATCTTATTATTTCTTAAGTACGTGGGATAAATTAGTCACAAGTTAATGAATCAGCCCAGTGTAAAAATTAAAAAAAAAAAAAAACAATAAAGAAATATGTTGTCTCGGTATTTGTATTTTATAGGTGATTAGGCTTATTAGAAAATACTACGTATAATGATTGGTTTAAAACGAGAATCAAAATATTTAGATTTACCTTACGCCTAAATACTTAATTGAAAGAAAACTCGTCTTTTTAAGATTCTTTGCTTAGAAGAATTAAAATATCAATCAATTAAACTAATTATATTAATTTTAACTGCTTTATTTGTAATTGAACACATTTTTTAAATTAATTTACAATTTTGATTGAAATATATATTTTCCAATCTTCTGAGGTTTATTAAAAAATTGCACAATTAAATATGTATACAATTTTGGCTTAAATTTAAAAGTTGCTTTACGAAATTTTTCACTTATTACTCAAAGATTATGCAAATTTCGAAGAAATTTTCTTAAATAGTACCGGATCGTATAAAAGATACGAAAATCGCTCATCCCATTATGTTTATTCATGCATATTTCATAACGATGCTCAGTAAAAATGATAATGAAAAACACTCTCTTTCGTTATTCATATATTTTCATTTGTATTGGGGAGTACTTGAAATTCGATCTTGCCGTATTTACCCGATTTTTATAATAAAAGCACAAGTTATCTCGAGGCAATTTGAACGATTTAAACCAATACTCAATAGTTGGTAGTATATTCAATTATATCCTGTCTTTAGAAGTAAACCGTGCAGTGCAAAAAAGCGATCCGAGGCTTTCGAGGTCCCGACTTCGTCATATTAATTAATAAGGAAAACCGATAGACGCACCACCATAAGCTTTGACAAAAATTCGACAAATAGCGTAAAACACTTGTCGCATGATGGTCGACTCGGGTAACTCGCTCAAACTCACAATGAACATTTTCACGCGTCCTCTTGAGAATCGAAGTCCAGTCACGGACACATAGACGAGCTCTCGACACAAGTCCACATGGGCTCGCCTCTGGAGTCGACGACGCACAGGCAAACGCACTGGCAGGAGGATCACGTGCAGGAACCGCACCACTTGGTATTCGCCAAGAGAATGTCACGATGAGCGCTCGACCACTACCCGCGAGGATCCGAAGGTTCTTTTTGAGCCGCGAGGACCCCACTTGAGCGAAAGTCTCCGTACTGCTTAGATGGATTCCGCGATTGTTAACTAAACACTTAGCAACATTCAAGGACTGTCCAATTTCTTTGGTCCCTTGACCTGGAAATTTGGAATGGGAGTCCTTAAGGGCTAGTAGATAATGTGCAATCCTATCGTTTCTATTTATAGTCAATCGATCGCTTTTGATTTAACAGTTTGTTCGCGCGCCTTTGTGTAGATGAGTGAAGCTCGTACACGCGGTTGTTTACTCTGTACAGTTATTTACTCTTTTGGATTTAATAGGGTTGGGGCAGAAGGGCAATCATCATACGCTATTAAAATAAGAGTAGGATATTGTACATGAGATTTATAAAACTTCCATACTAGTTTTTCTTTTATTTTTAATTAAGATAAGTAATAGAGGATTGGATTATTCGCCTTTCCTCTCTCTTCCGTTGAATTTTTTGTTTTTTGTTTTTTTTTGCCTAGTGAGCCCTGCGATGATGACTCTCCTGTCGAAGAGAATTACATAATTTATAATTTGATGGTACAACTGATGCATACATTTAAAAAAGTACAATTAAAATATGGCGCAAGAGAGTAATTCTGCTTCTAAAAGCAAACCTCGTCGTTTACAACATGTAATATTTTAAAGTTGTAAAGTGTAATTAATTATACATAAGAGAATACAATATAGTTATTAGTCAATCTAATTGAACTAATATATGTATTATAAGATTTTTTCATCAAATTTTAACAGATCTCAGAAAATTTTTCATAAATAAACTCTTACGTTAATAACTTCGCCAAAATATAACAATATAAATACATAAAAATATAATACAAATATTGCGTAATGAAATTAATAACGACATTTAGCGAATCTATTATTTATTACCTAATAGAGTTACAGTTTCTTATTCATATATTTTACTCGTATAAAATATTTTATTTTTCTCAGCACTTTATCTGCTTAAAATCAGCCAGTTAACATCTTTACATTTTATGTCTAAAATTCATCATAAAGAAATTTATAAATACTCACTATGAAATAAAACTTCAAAATTTACATTTTTACATTTCCTCTTTTCATTATAAAATTTATAATAATTGGCAATAATAGTATCAGTTAATTTATAATGTTTTATACATATAATTACATATAAAATATTTATTATTTTAAAAAATATAAGTATAATTATTAAATCTTTTAGCTGCCGTTTAAACATTTGCCTTTTACTGAATGTTGCCATAAACTATTAATTTATTATTTAAGTAACTAAATAGTGCAGACTATAACATTTAAAATATAATTATTTAATCAGTCTATTGATAAAAATATTATATTGAACAATATTATAAAATATATTAATTCGTAAATTTTTGAAATATTTTTTTTAATGTAACAAGTTACGATGAATAATTTTTTAAATATTATCTATTCAAATGATTTCGCTAATATATATATATATATATATATATATATATATACGTGATTATCCATATTAATAAGTTTGTCGTATTAAAACATTATCATAACAATAACCAAAATTATTCTTTATTATCTATAAAGAAATCAAATCGCAGGAAAATTAATTTTATTATTTTCAAATTTTATCAAATAATTACTATATCTACAAAAAATTCATCATTTAACAATATTCCTAATGAATAAATATTTAATAAATATTTTTAAACAAACTGTAAATAAATTATTTATATTATAAGGAATGATGCCCTATAAAGTAAAATTTGGCAATCCAGATTTAAGCATTTAGATAATGGAAACAATGATTATATCTTTCGTGCACATATAAAACAAGTTGAACACTTAAAAATGTTGAAACGCATTCTTAAACAAATCTAATTATATTGTGAATGATGAAATATTAAAATAACAGAAAAATTTAGATTTTATCAATAAACTTTTTTTAAGAAATGAAAGCAAGAATTAAAGCAATTTTTTATATAAAAATAATAAAGCTTGATTAAAATTTGTAAGTTGCAGGTTTGAGTTAAATATTATGTTATAAATAGTACTTACAACCTTCAAAGTAAATATCAAATGGAAATATTTAACATAAAGTTAATATAACAATGAATACTGAGTGTAAAATAAAATTAAAATTAAATATAAAGCTAGTAGTTTAAGGAACAGAAAATTAGGTTAGAGTTTTATAGTTAGATAGTCACATGGTTTTTAATATTTTGATTTTCGTTCAAGCTTTTATATTTTTCAATATTAGCACATCCGCATAATGAAAACTGCCGAATATTTTACTGAATATTCTAACTGTATAATGAAAATTAATTGTTGATTTTATTTTTATTAAAAAGTTAAGTATTTTTATATTTTCAAAAAAAAAATATATATATAAAATAGTTTCTTAATATTAATTAAAAAAAAATATGATAGCTGTATTGATAAAGAAAGCTTTAATTGATATAGCATATAGTATATTAAGGGTTTTCTACCGAAATTATTTTGTGTCGTAATATTATATTATATATTAAAAAGTCATAGACATTGGGAGATTTATAATTAAAAATAATATTCAAGTTTCTCATGATATATATATAATTTCTGTTATTCATAATTTTACTCAAAATGAATTCATAAGCAGCTAAATTTTGAGCAAAACTAACAATTTTAATGACATGTTATTGTACTTAAAATTAGTCAATACACTGTGTTTTTTGCATTAGATTATACATAATTACTGGATTATAGGATTATGAATATATATTTAAATTGTTCAATTTAAAAAAAAAAAGTTTGGTATACGTTTTTTTTTTATTTTGTTTTTTATATATTTGAGAAACTTGAAATTTAACCGTTTTTATTTTAAGTTTCATTTGTAATTTGATGATTTGTAATCAGCACGTATACATTTTATTTAGATAAAATATTCATTTTTATATATTGATAAGGATTTTTGAAAAAATTCTATTATAAGTCAAAAGACCAGTTTAATTTTTTCTTTAAATTCGTTTTTTTAGTCTTTACACGTAACACCATTCTCATTTCTTCAGGATTTGCAGGCGCTTTATGTTATATGAATAAATGTAAATTAAATTTGAATTAAAATCTCCATAGCCAAGTTTTATTTCTGGTTTAATTGTATGAATCGAGTTATAAATACCAAGAAACAATAATAAATAATGTAAATTTTAAATTTCAATTGTAACAAATTATTTTAATAAAATGTTATTTGTGTTTGAAGTTCATTATATTTTTAAATTCAGCCCTTTAATTCAATGTCAACAATTACAATGTAACTTAGTAATCGCAATTGAAGTATTATAGTAATTTAATAATTATTAATACAATTTTAACTACATACAACAATACAAGAACTATAACTAAGACCAAGCATTAGGCTTATTTATTGTCATTTTCTTTTAATAGTTAAATTTAAAATGAATGATTTAATATTGATAATAATGTCAAATTATTTTTGAAAAAACAATCAACTCTTTCAATATTATTTATAACCGTAATAGAGAATAATTAAAAAAAAAAAATAAATAAAATTAAATAAAATTGTCAAGTATTTTTTTACTACTATTCATTTTATTTTATTTATTTTGAGTTGGTTTAACAATTGTTAACATAGATTTTACTTAAATGGTGGCTGAAAAATGGATTATTAAGAATAATAAAATACAGGTCAATTACTTAAGTTTTGACAGGAATTTGAAGAATTAATTTGAAAAGAATATTATTCTTAAATATTTTATTCATTTGTTAAACACAAATTTTCGTAAAGAGAGCATTTTTTACAATTGAAATATTGTCATTTTTCCAAAATTTTTATTTTCTAAACGGACTTTAATAGGCTATACCTATATTTACTATTTATACTATATATGTCCTATCTAATTGACAATATGATATTCAAATTCCATTTTCATAAATCGATATATTCGAAGTATTTTATTATAATATCTAAACTATGATAGTATTATTTTGAACTATTCCTTATGTTTTAGAAATACTATACGATTCATTACTAAACATCAAATAAATATTTTAGCAATTTTCAAATTGATTTATTTGTATTTACTGATTTATGGTATTTGAAATATGAGTTCAAAACATACTTAGAAAATTTATATTTACAACAATAATGTTATTTTTTTTCTTTCTTTCTTTCTTTTTTAATTAATTTAAGTAATTATAACCGAGAAGTATATTTTTATCAATCTATATTTAATATTCTTGGATGTTTATATTAATGATAATTACATGTTATTATAATTATACGACTTTAAAATGTTGCTCTGGAAATAATTATTAAAAATAATTAAATTAGATAATATTCTAGATATTTATTGCCAATGGTTTAAAATGAAATTTTTCTTACCGTTTCGAATTAATATAGCACATTATTTTGACTTTGATGTGTTTCTGTGTTAGATTGTATCAAAAACAGTATTTAAAGTTGTTCAATTTTGTTTTAATGTTAACAGTCTCTACAAATATTTTACATCATTATTTTATTTACATAATATTTTACATCAATATCTTATAAAAAAAAAAAAAACTAATAGTTTTAAATTAATATTTTATTAATAAATTCACATTGTCTCGTTATGCATTAACTTAAAGTAGTTAGTTTTTTTTTTTCATGTAAAAGCAATACGCATTGTATTAATTCCGTTCCAATTTTCTTTAATCATTTATATATTGACAATACTTTTTATTCAATAATTTGACTCGTATTTTGTTAATTTTTAATAATTTAAAGGGGCAAATTACATTTACTTAGTTCAAATAAACGTAAGTTTAAATTTTTTTGAAATACGATAAATAAATTCTTGTGATAAAATCTTCTGAATAAACCAATTTTCATTTTAGATTTTTTAAATACCTTGAAATTTTTTTTTATACAGATAGTTTTTTTCATACTTTTACAAGTATTCTTCATTTAATGGAGGTTTTTTTTTTTTTTTTTTTTTTGGAACATATCTAGTTGAAAGACTCAATCTATTCTAACTAATTCATCCATTATGGAATTTTATGAATATTAAACTTTACATTAGTAATAGCTTATGAAGTGTACGTAATATTACATATTCGCTTTTACAAGTCACAGTAATTAATAAAATGTGAAATAGTTGTTCATTATCTTATTCGGTATTATAAAATTTTAATTAACTTAATACTTATAGTATCATTATTATAAATAAATAATTCGAAAGATGATTGTTTGATGAAGCTCTTAATAGTGAAATTTACAGATTAGGATTTTGATATGACATTTTTAAGAATTGACGATAGTACAGTCAAAATCGAGAAAACTTCTTTATTATGTTTTATTAATTTTTTGTAAAGGTGAGAGTGAAGGCAAATCATGCGTGGTCACTTTTTTTTCTATTGAGATATCAAGGTCATAATAATCAACAATTTCATTCTTAATGAAAATAAATAAATAAAATAATTAATACATTAATGGAAAATTGTGTGAAAAATAGGAAAAATTAAAAGATGTAAGTAAATTTTAAGTCCAAAAGAATTGTAAAGAAAATAATAAATGCCTGTTAAATAAAATGCGTTGTTTCTTATTTCTTCCAACGTTGCCATCTATAATATATTATACAAAGATTTTCTTATGCTGACTGCATCTATGGGGTATTGTAATAATTTACATCGCATCGTTTTTACATTATTAGTAGCATTTGTTAACTGTGATTGTTTTTTATTTATATAATTTAAAAAGTAGACACAAGTGTACTGCTATTTATCGTGTCCTATACATTTGAATATTTCTAGAACGTATAAAGTATAAAATCAGATAATTATTTTCAGGATAAACTTCTAAGGGTAATATAACACGAATTTGCACAATATTAAGTTATAAGGTTATTTAAAATAAAAGTAATTACTAATACATCGAATTTACCAATATAATTCATATTATATTTTAGCACATTAGCATTTAGCTTTTGAGAATAGCACTCAATATAATTTAGGCATATTAAAAGAGACGAATTATCTTAATATCGATTTAATTTGTGATTAATCAATTCGAAGAATCCACGCATGTAAAACAAAATCAGTTAAGGTAATTCAAAACAACGAAATGTTTCCGAATTCGAATGGAATAAGACGCTCCTTGTGCTATGTCACATTTTGTCCACATCTTTTTTTTTTTTTTTTTTTTTTTTTTTTTTTTTTTTTATATTTTTTCATTTTCTCTTTCTATTCGATTTTATTCATGTTTAGTAAAGATCTATATCAATTATGATTGAAAGTTACTACTGATTTACACGTACCCATAAAGTACCTTGGATCTAACTGCAAAACAAAGACAATGATATTAAATAATATCTCTTCTCTATTGTTATTATTAAAAGAAAAGAAAAAAGAGGCAATAATTTAGCACTTTAGAGATTGTAAAAATTTCCAAGTAAACGGAAATTTCAGAGTAAACCGTACGGTGTCGTTGCGGTTGCTTTCCGGTGATTATTGGCCATCGGCCATCCGGACTAAGTATTTCTAGGAAGATAATTTTTTTTTATTACGCTAATATTTTTTAATTAATCTTGTTATCATTTTTAATGAAGAAGCAACGGACCTTTTACGGTTGTTCGACAATGGGATTGCCGTACAGATATTTTTTTCTTACACTCGATTGAGGACGTTATCGTTTCATAAAATTAATCACATACGCTTATCAATGCTCTGTTTCGAGTATGTGTGTAGGGTGGCAGAGAAATGGGGATCATTTTCATCGATTTAACGAAACTTTTGCATTGTCACAATCTGTTTTTCATTGTTGTGACACGCGCGTTTGTATATAACTTTTAAATGTAGTAAATTTTAATTTTGTATTCTAATAGTGAAGGAGCCGTTTGAAAGAAGTTTATGATTATAACCTCATACTGTTGAATGCCGTTATTGTTAAAAGGTTTTATATTGTTTTATATATCGCTTCACTTAATTGTATTCCGATATATTAAAAATTATGCAATGAATAATAATGTTTGCAATTATTGGTTTGGAAGTAATTGAAAAATTTATATCAAGTTTTTTATAGCATTGTTTATAATTAGACAAATTTTATTTATTTTATACATATTAATGAAGTTTCAAATAAAAGTTTTAAATTGTATGGAAAATATAATTTTAATATTTACATTTAATTTTTAAAATATTTTGATTTTACAGACTGATAAGAATTATGTCAGCAGAAAATGCACAGACATTAGATAAATCTATCTATATGCATGAAGAATATGCACTAATTCAGGACCTAGAAGTATGTATTATTTATTTAACATTAGAGCACAATGCACAATGTACAAATATATACGCACACGCGTGCGCGCGGACACTTACACACACGCACGCACGCACGCACGCACGCACGCACGCACACACGCACACACGCAAACACGCAATAATATAGCATTGATTATAGAATAATTTTAATTTGCAGGAATATCAAGAAGATATATTAGGTGGACTGTCAGTATTGGTAAATGAAAACAATTTAGATAATTCACAGGTACAAGAATTAGTACTTAACGATCAACTTCTTAATGCATTTACTTCTGTAACATTGCCCGATGGAACTCAAGCTTTTATAACACAAAATCTTAATTCCAATGGTGATCACCATTCTGTTTATAATTTTAATTTAAATTTCCGTTTAAAAAGATAAGATAAAAATATAAAACTTGAAATTTTTACTGTAAACAAAAATAATTTATATTATAAAATTTCATTCAAAACTGAAAAATATTTTTATAAACAAGATTATGTAATCTTATTTAAATGAAGAACTTCAATTTTTAAAGATATTTTTTATCCTTTAGATTCTGAGAAAGAGCAAACAAGTTTGAGGCTTGACAATGGTGCAATATTTCTACGAGATATTGCAGAACTCAATAATGGAAAACTTATACAACTCCAGTTGGATTCATTAGGTATGGAATTTCCAAAAAGTGATAATGTATTGAGCGATGAAGGAAACCTTCATTCTTGTTTACAAATTATAAATGGAGTAGTATATTTGGTAACTAATGAAGTTGAAGACTGTCAAAATTTATGGAATATATCAAATGAAAAACCAAAGAAAGATGCAATATTTTCTGCTAATAATCAAACCGAAGGAGAGAAGCCTAAAAACAAACATGAGTGTCCAAGGGAGGATTGCACCAAAGTATACAGTACACTCCATCATTTAAAGGTATATGTATTTACGATTAGAAACTTATAATTTGCAATACATTAATGAAGTGCAAAAGCAATTCTAAATTAATATGTAATACTATGACATTTTATAAATTTCCTATAATTTATAATCTATTTATATATATATATATATATATTAATTTTTATAATTTAATTTAAACTAATTTATTATACAAGTTCTATGTCCTTTATAAAATTGTAAAGATCAAAGTATTTTATATTTTCAAAAATATTGACTTTAATATAAAGAGATAAAAACGTGTTTCTTTATTTATTTATATTTGTTTATGTGATATAAATTTTCATAATATTACTTAATAATGTGAAAAATAATACGTATATATTTTTAATTTATTATTTTTATTCATTAATTTCATTCAAATTTATTTGAAAAAAGTACTTAAGAAAAAAATGAAAATAAGTATCTTTGTTTTTAAATTATCGTTTATATGATTTGTAAAATACTATGTATTATAATGTTTTTTACAATATTTGTACCACAGGTTCATGAACGTACACACACAGGTCAAAGACCATATAAATGCACACATCCAAAATGTAAAAAAAGTTTTTCTACTGGTTATAGTCTTAAAGCTCATTTACGTACACATACTGGTGAAAAGCCATATAAGTGTACTACAGAAGAATGTGATAAAAGTTTCAAAACATCAGGAGATCTTTTGAAGCATGTAAGAACTCATACAGGCGAAAGACCTTTTGTTTGTCCATTTGAAGGCTGTGGTAGATCATTTACTACAAGTAATATTAGGAAGGTAAATTTCAAAAGCAAGTTAATTATTGTAAAGCAGAATATAAGAGAATTATAAAAGTAAAATAACATCAGCAAATAAATTAAAATAAATGTACCTCCAATAATTAATTTTAAATATATAAATTTAATTTGAGTATATATATTTTGTAATTCATATATTTTTATTAAAATTACAAATAGTAAACTTCTTTTACATTCTTCTTTCTTACATTTCTTCTATAATACAATATGAAATCAATTAAATTTCTTATTAGTATAATGAAAATAAATATTAATAACATTTAAAAATTATCGGTCATTTTATTATGTTTTAATGTTTTTTAGATAAATATTATAAAAGTAATTGTATTGTAACATTGTATTTTAAATTTGAAATTTGATATATTATTGAAATGCATTTGATCTCTAGAAAATATAAAATAAATTACAATCATACTTATTTTATTTGATTTATTTTCATAAGTATTGGCCTTTTCTATACTAATGTGAGATAAGAACAAAATATTCTTACATATTTTAATATTTAAGCATGATTCCATTTACTTTCCCAGGTACATATAAGGACACATACAGGGGAACGGCCTTTTAAATGTCCCCAACCAAAGTGTGGTAAGGCCTTCGCTAGTTCTACGAATTACAAAAACCATATACGTATTCATTCTGGTGAAAAGCCGTATGTTTGTTCAATAAATAATTGTGGACGGCGATTCACCGAGTACTCTAGTCTTTATAAGCATCACATTGTTCACACACAGGAAAAGCCTTATGAATGTGAAATTTGTCATAGACAGTACCGCCAACATAGCACACTTATTATGCATAAGAAAACGACTCATTCGATAATTGATATTGATAATGACCAAGATAATGTATTAGATGTATTATTAGAAAATTCAGTTGATGTGATCGATCAAACAAAGGTGAGTGTGTAAAAAAATAGCTAATTTCTTACATTTTTCAATTAAATATATGATATAGATTGAAATTAAGTGAGAAATCGTATATGAAATATTTACATTTGAGGCAATAATATCACCTTTATCTTTATTAAACAATAAATTATTGGTAAAAATATATGTAATTTATTTATCGTTTTAAATTTTAATGCTTTAAGCAAGTCATTTATTTAAAATTTATTGTATCGTTATAAAAGTATTAAATAGTCATTTAATGATTATTAATAATATTCATTGAATATTTTAATATTTTTAAAGCATTAGCTATTTTGAAAATAAAATTAATTACTTATGTTTAAATATTGTTAATGGAATTATCTGGCAAGTATAAGTAATTTACTTTATTACAGTTATTGAATTAAAATATTTAATTAAATATGTGTTCAGATAAATGTGCTTTAAGAAATACCAAATTAGTGGTTAATGTAAATTACGTACGTGGAAAAAATAATTTGTCTTTTTATATTAAAATTATTATTCAAAACAGGAAATTCAAATTAATTATTCGCTGAAAATTTTATTTATTGACTTTTAAAATAAATGTAAAGATTACACAATAAAAAGTCTATAAAATGTAATAATATATATCTGAAATATCAAAAATTATTCATTCAAGCTAAATTAAACATTTAAAGACAATATTAAAAAGTCGATTGAGTAAAAAATAAATAATCATTAATTTAATTAGTCTTTAATTAGAAAAATAGAACGTTGTTAATTTTAATATTTCTTTTTTTTTTTTATAACAAATATAAAGCATTGATATACTCTTTTTGTTAATGTTTACCTTGTTCAATTATACCTTATTTTATTAGAAATGTATTCTGCATATAAATGTTAATTATATATTTTTTTTTTTTTAATTTGAGTAATGACTAATGAATAAAATATTTATTCCAGCAACTCTCTTTTGTTAAAAATGAACAAATAGAAACTAGTGATTGTGGCACAGAAGAAGAAACACAAATTTTACTTGTTGAAGACCCGAGTCAATTAGTTACATTTCAGGTGAGTGAAATATTATAAATATTATTTCAATTCTGTTTTAGTAATTTTTTCATAACTGTTCTTCATTTTTAGGAAATGGAAAATCTTAATGATGAATCTGAAAAAAATTCTATCGATATTGCTTTAGAAGAATTAAATATTAAGTATGAAGATGTGGAATTCAGATGGAATTAATAGATATTAATTTAAATACTACGTAAACTACAAATCGAGCTTCGACGAAAAAATATTGATAAAATACCATAAGCAAATTTTTTTTACAATTTTTCTAAAGCAGAAAAATAAAGATCAAAAGAATTAAAAATTTTGTTTATATTAATTATTTTTTAAATATTCATTTTTCATATCTACAATTAAATCGTCACATAAATACGTTATTTTAATTTAAGTACTTTTAAATATACAACTTACAAAGATTTAATCATATAAGCTAACAGTTATATATTTTATTCCGACTTTTATTTATTTGAATGTATTTTGTAAATTAATTTTGTAAACGGTCAGTAAATTTAAAAAAAAACAAGTCAAAGTTTAAAAATAAAAAAATTAAAATAGATTGTTTATATTATATATTTTCTAGAAATCTTAAATAACATACATGTTCAAATATAATAGATAGTGAAATGTTCAATCTAATTCTTATAGTTTTTAAATATAATTATATTATTTAATTTATAACAATAGACACTAATAATTGCATATTAGTTATAACTATTTTCTTTAAACAAGTACGTATTTATAATAAAAGAGTAAAATTTACTGTATGAATAAATGATTGTAAATTAAAATTTACAGTAGTGATAAAAGAACAATGAATAAATACGGCTTGTTTAAAATTGTTAATTGGTTTTGTATAAATTTGTATATATTGTGTATGATGTTAGAACATGTGATTACGAATCAAAAGATTTGATTTTCACAATTTAAATTTTAAAATATAAATAATATATTAATATTGTTAGTGCTACTACCGAAAATATGTTTACAATTTGTTCATAAAGAAATATCTGTGTTCATGTTTTTATAAATGTAATATTAATTTCAATAACTAAATGAGCGTGAATATTAAAATTTTAAGATAAAAAATGGATATTAAAATATACATGTTCCAGTTTGTATTCAAACATACAAAACAATGTAGTTCTAGGAGCGATTAATCCCTGAATCAAATGTAGAAAGTAACGAGAACAGATTCTTGCGTTGTGGATAGAAATAAAGAATATCAGATCAGCATCCGTTCTGCTCTCCAAATGTCGAACATTCGACTCAACCATATTATCCGAATTGCAACGACGTGAAATCATCGAAATAAGTGTTGAGCACCTTTCATATGATAGACCAAGTATTATCATTGTTGATATACATTTACTTTTTAAACTTATGTCTATAATTTTTGTACATTTTGTGAAAATAGATAACCTTTCATTTAAACTCAGTGTATTGTTTTTACTTAATTTTTATCCTTCATTTAGTATAAGTCAATTGAATCGTCAAATTGCATACTAATGAGATCTTATATTAATGAAGGTATAATTAGATAATTTAAAATGAATCAACCAAAAGTGTGCAGTATTATTTTCTACTTAACAAATACCAAATTAAATTGTTTTATATTAATATTACAAGACTAAATATAAATTAAAATTTTATTTACATTATTTTAAAGTTTTAATTTTAATATTTAACATAATCGATTAATTTATTGTAGTATTTTGTTTTGTCATCTTTAAAATGAGATTATTAGATTTAAAATAGAAATAATTTCATAGTAATAATTAAATAGTAACAAATAAATTTATTTGAATGAATAGTTTAAAAAATTGTAACTAGGTTAAAGGTATGTATTTATTCATAATTTAAGCTTTGAGAAAATTTGGTGGTATTTCTGGTTTCGGTAAATTACTCGTGTGTGCAAACTTTTAAATGATTTTATCGTTGATTTTTGCATTTTAAATTAGCAGTAAAATATTAAAACAGTTGATAATACGATTTGTAAACTCTTGAAAAACTTTCGTTTAAAAATACTCTAAATATTACTAATTATAGTGTGAAGAATAATATACAATGAAATTTAAATATTACAATAACTAATGTTTATGTAGGACATAGGACCTCGTCGTTGTTCTTATTTTAAAATATAATAAATATTCTTCGCATGCTGTAATATAATATGTTTTTACCGTTTATATATAGACATTGTGAATTATAGAAACGAGGAATAAGAATATTACATTCGTAAAAAGTATATTAAAAAGAATTGAAGATATTTAGAAAAGAATTTTAAATTCTATAAAAGTGTTTCTGAGATGACAATTAACATATTACAAAGTAAAAGCGTAAAATTCAACGTATAACATCGTTATATTTAAAATATCTGCGAATATTATAAATTATAAATTACGGATTGATATCGTTGTTGGTCCATACTTAATTGATTACGAATATTAAACGCACAATAGCTCGTTGGCATTTTTTTCATGTGAATATAATGATCGATAGCGTGTTTATCTAAATCGCGTCACACACTTAGCTTTTCGATTTAGATCAGCGCATATTTGCTTCTGCTGTATGCGTTAATTTTTATCAATTTGCACATTATATTTATCGTATAGCTTTTTATGAATTTCAGTTTAGTAGATTTCGACGTCTACGTCCTTTCTTTTTTTTACAAAGCTATATTAAAATATATGAAAATTATTCGAATACGATTTGAATATGAATTTTTATTATTTAATGCTAAATAATGTAGCCGACTATTAAATATTTGATAAATATGATATATATATATATATATATATGTATATTCGTAATAACTTTAATTTAACACCTCGAAGTTCAGAATTTATTATCAATTATGTGCATCAATTTTTTAATTTGATTATTAATTTGTTTATTGAATAGACAACTAATATCTATTTAATTTAAAAAATATTAATCTTATTTCAACTTTAATGCCCTTTTCATTTTGGAATAATATGATTAACTATTTTTGTTACTGGGACATAAGAGTTTGAACGTTATAAAGTATATACTATAGGTTAAATGTGAAATCTTAAACAATTAAGAAAATAAAATGTATTTACATTATAGTGCAAGTATTTTTATTTATATTATAAATATAATTGTATATATATATTGCATTATTAATTGAATATTTAAGAAAAGTATTTATAACATTTTTATAGCTAATTTCACAATGGAATATTACAAACGGTTAATACAAAAAGTATTTGTTTAAAAAGTTGTAGATCAATTTAATTAATTAATTAATGAAAATAATTTACTTTCAGTTATAAGTAAATTTACAATTTTTTTACAAAATATTTTTTAAATATTTTTTTATTATTTTTCAATAAACATAAGCTTACACTTACAATTTATTAATTTTTAGTTGTCAACCGAGTAGTACTAAATTTATACTTTACGCATACATGAAAACTATAAATAATCGTTTTATGCGTAAAAACAAGTAAAAGAGAACGAACAATGAAAATTATTTCTTCCACACAGTACATGAATCTTTTCAGAAAATTATAAGCAAGAATTGCAAAGGTGACGCATAAAATTCAAATATAATCCTTGGCACATAGCGCAGACACACGTAAGTTATATATGTGGTAAAAAATATTTTTGTCACTATTACTGTAATAGTTTTTTTTTTTTTTTTTTTAAATATTTTATTAGTTATTAATTTTTAATCGTTCGTCAATTCCGGAATAAAAAAAAAAATTGGTTCAATATAAGAGTTCATTTATTTAAATAAAAATCTACATTTTATAATTTTAAATTGTTTAATTAATAGTAAAACACTATTCATATTTATATTATTCATATTAGGCATACGTATATTATATAAAAATATAAAATTTTGATGTAATATTGCTTTTAATGTATTGTCGTGTAAATTAAGTATATAATTAGATTACTTTTATTTATTATATACATAATTAAAGAACTTTGTTTAAAGTAAATGTTTAAAATTTATTAAATAAACTTGAAATTTGATAATTGCTTTCTTAATTATAAATATAAATATAATTGATAATATAATACATTTATTGTATATGGCATGCGAATAATTAATAATCACCAAATCAATCACCAAAAAATTTTTCCGAGCTAACAGTATAGCTAATTTGCAAACTGGATTATTTCAAAATAAGGTGCTCCATTCGTTCGCGAAATAGTCGGAATTTTCGTGTAAAATATTCGTGATAAAATGTAACGACGAACGTACAAGCGAGATGGAAGTCTGAACCTTGGCCTCCTCGTTTATTCTATATTCGAGTTCGATCGTATTTAAATGTTGGAGGCTCAACGACTTTTTATTACTATCGCGAAAACATTAACCCTCTCAACGTTAATGCCCGTATGTTTATTACTGCATTAGGTCTCTGCGAGTATTTCTTAAACACTTGGAGAGGGATCGTAATAGATGTAATTTTATGACATGCATAATAACGTCACGAATCCAATTTTCGATCTCTAGAGACTAATCGTTGTCGTTTCGTTAATGTCTGGAAGCGGAAACGGAATTAATTAGAAAATTTCTTTAACATTAAGAGGGATCTAGACCCTTAACTAGAAAATTGCATTGATACGGCACTAAAGCAATGCCTACTTTATTTTAATTTAGCTTCAAAGTAATTTTGGGAGAGCTTATTAATTTTGTATTAAATAACGAATCGGTTACTACCGAAATTCATTACTATTTTCTTATGACTTTTATCGGCATTCATACTGTTAATATTGCTATAAACCTTAATTTCTATTATCATTAAAAATTATGCATTATTATTGCAAATAAAATAATAATTAAATTGTTAAAAACTGAATTATAAAATACAGGTTTTAGTTTTCCATTTTATTTAAATTGTTTTACATATATATATTATTTAATATGTTGTTATATCTATCTATATATATATATATATATAAGTCTGATTACTGACTTTTTCGACGCTAAAAAGATCGAATATTACTTTGAAAAATATTTTTTTATTTTTTTACACATATTAATATCAATCTTAAAATATTAGTCAATAATAAAATTTGGTATTTATGAACTCTTATTACAATATTCAATGTTTATTATGATAACGTAATCGATTCATACAAAAGTATTCAACTGAAAAAATATTAATTTAATACTGAAAACTAATTGTGTAAATAAGATAATCTAAAATTATATACATATGTTTGGTTCAAATATAAGGTAAGAAATAAGATTTCACATTTTATAAAAATTTGTACTAAACGGCGACTTTAGAC